ATCCATTAGGATGGGTTCTTCCAAAGTTTTTTCTCCAACCATTAAGTCCTTGGGACTTCCCCTTTTCTTGATTAATTGTTCCTAGGCAACATATCATTTCCTCATTTCCCAATGCCACCCTCATCTTTCAATACATTGGGCTACATTAAAGCTGTGAACTTGATTGAAAATCTTCAACTCCCAGCAGTTCAATTCATGAGTCAATCATGAAAACCTCATTTCCTGCAGCAGTTTGGAGTGCAAATGGGCAATCTCACAATCTCTTTTTTATCTGGAAAGATAGTGGTGGCCAGAATTCACCATATGACTGCTGAACTTTACTGCAATGCTGTCTCCACTCCTTCAGGGACGTCTAGTCCGCCATAGATTCTTATCTTGAAGATTTACTTTTCCAAAGTCCAATTCTTACTTCCATATTAATAGATCATTAAAAAGTCATCATTAAAAAGTCATCATTAAAAAAAATTGCCAATTCTGATCGGTTTTGGTATAGAAACATCATATCTTTCTCAGGACCTTCATTAACATGCCACCAAGTGCCAGTCTTTAATGTCTTTCTTGTTAATTTATTAATTGATGCTTAAAGACAATAGTTATCCACCAATATATTTACTGTCAATTTTAAAGCTGGTTGTGAACTTTTTCTTTAATAATCAAGGTTCAACTGTCTATTATTTCACCCCAGTAGCTTACTATGAATCACATTTATCTCACAAAAGATATTTAAGGTTGTAGATTAAGCTTAGCAATAGCACTTAGGCTTATATACCATTTTATAGTGCTTTACAGCTCTCTCTAAGCAGTTTACAGAGTTCAGCATATTGTCCCCAACAATCTGGGTCCTCATTTTACCAACCTTGGAAAGATGGAAGTCTGAATCAACCCTGAGCTGGTGAGAATTGAACTTCTGGCAATTGTCTGAAGTAGCCTGAAATAATGCATTATAACCATTGCGCTACCACGCCGCATAAGTTGGTTTGTATTGATATTATTGTTAATTTAACATAGCAATGGAAAAAAGCAATAAATGTTAAATTGTAACAACGTCTGAGTTTGACATTGTCTAAGACTCCACCTTGATCACTGGCACTGCTTTGGTGGGAAAAACACTCCCACCAAATATCAAATTTATTTTTATCAGCTGTGGATTTCTTTGTGTCATCGGTGTTAGACAGAAATGATGTCACTGGATATGACTAATGGCTCAAAGTAAAGAGATATATTTAACTAGATTACCTAATAGTTTGTTAATTCATATGTATTTTTAAATCTTTACCTGAACTTGACCCAGTTTCAGCTTTCTTGGGACAATGTCTACCCTCCAAATCTTTTGATGCATGATTTAGACTTATCTAGCCTTGTATTTCCAGAGATGTTAAACTACAACTGCACAAATTACAATCCAGCATAATAAATGGATATTAATTAGTGTGGTCCTGCTCTGACCTGGCCCCATTAATTTATAATATGGTATCATGCAATACCATTGAGAATACGATACACTGGGAGATAGAAAACTGTCAGACAAGAAACTAGGAAACTACCTCATTGGCATATTGTAAGAACATAAGAGGAGAAAGTGCTACATATACCAAATATCAATACCACAGTATATTCACCTCCATCATCAATTCCTTTATTCATGTTCTATAACTTTTTAAGAAAAAAAGAATGCTAATAAGTGTTATTTTTTGTAGTTGTTGCGAATGCTGATTTTAGAATATTGGTATGGTTGGAACAGAATATAATTGGATGTTTTGCTCAGGAGTTTGTGGCCTCCATGACAACCATCTGTCTCTTCCACGTAATTTCTGTCCTGGCACATCCAAGCAGCAGGACAGATGCTGGACCTTGCCTTTTGCCTAGAAATACCTGTTTTCTTACTTGGACATGGAAGGTATGATATCTAGTGCTTTGTTCAAGTCAGATCAGTTCCTGGCTCAGACAATACTAACTATCGCCAACAGGTATTTAGTGGAGTTTTTGAGTGAACTGACAGATGGTTTCACCGACTACCTGGTCAAGCTTTAACAGTAGATCTCTCTTTGATTGCCTTTGAAGCTCTTCCAGACAATATCTGGAGAGTAAGATGACAATGTATAGATTTTTATATATACATTGTTCTATTTTTTTACTTTGAATTTAATTATCTTGCTTATCACAGGCATTTAAATTATTATCATGTATGCTGGTTCTTATAGCTGTTAATTGATAACAATCCCTATGGATTAGGACACTATATGAATTTAATAAACAATTTATAACAATAAACTAAACAAATCTTAAACAGTGCATTATTTATTGAAAATGTCCTAATCCTGACACTTTGCAGGTTTCCTGCCTGAAGGCTCACCATATAAACTGCTAAAACAGACATAAAAGAATAAACAAATACATCTATAAATGTATAAATATTTATACACCTGTATTTCTTTGGCTCCTCTTTTATAAGTCATTGCTAATATCATTATGAAATATTATGGTTTCTAGGGGAATACACAGTACTGCATGTTACACATAATTTTAGTCACCATTTCTCACAAAAAATTGATTAAATTTCATTTACTTAGGATAAGCTTAAAACACTGTAGAAATTTTAAGTGATTTCCAATGGCATCAGTACAATCTGTTTAAATCAAACACATGGTGAAGTGATCTATTATCTGAATTAATAAACTGGGTTCCAAACTATGGCAAGGCAAATTGCAATTTCCCATCATTCTGGTATGTGCTGAAGCTTGGATGGCCAAAGATATTCTCTCATGTCCTAGATAGGATTTCAACCTAAGACAGGAAACAGAATGTATGTATATGCTATAAACACTTAGCAAATATGTTTGCATGGAATGAAAGAAGGCAATAGAAAACTAATTCTGCATTGTTGCCAAGAAAACTACATGGAAATGTCAGTGAAGACATTGGAATTCAAACTTGACTTTATGAAGACGATATTTAATCTAGTACTATACACAGCCAGGAATATATAATGAAGCAGATTAAGATACTACAGGGCAAGTGCTGGCATGGGTAAAAGATACAATCTCTGCTAAAAATTGTAGAATTGTAGGTAACAGCTATATTTGTAGATTGTATCACTGGATACAATCTCTACTAAAAATTGTAGAATATAGAGTTGTGTATTGATCAGCGAAAAATCTAATTTAAATCTAATGCACATGGTCACTTAGTAATTGCATCTTAGAGGGCCAGGACAGTGGTCATTGAGTGAGGTGATCACACGGGCTTCTTACTGAACAACTGAAATGACTTCTGACTATATTGGCAGGCTCCATTATAGTTGTAAGTCGACAACTAGTGGACTCTTTTGAGGGACCAAAAGTACTTTGGGAATATAATATAAGGAACATGAAGTAGTATAGTGGCTTATGAAGCTATAACAGCAAAGAGATGGCAAAGGTGGGAAGATCGGGAAAATGATCTTTAGCTTAGATCCTTAACTTTAAACTTAAGATTTATCTGAATGATTTTATTAAGAGAATCCAGCATTTACACTGGGACCTCCCACCTCTTTCTTTTCTCTGCAGTTTTTTTTTATCATAATGGCTGGAAAATTTCTTTAAGACTAATGCACCATTTTTCAGGGAATGGTAGCTGGAGTATGAATTTGTAGCCATCAGCTTTCTCCATTAGAGCAAAAGTCCTCAGATCCAGAACAAATTACGTGTTGGATACATCAGGCAGTTGCTGTCAGTTGCGAAGCCAAAATCCTAGTTAAAGTTTTATCATCATACCCTTGAGAAAAGAATGAAAGCATTTCATTCACTATAATTGTTTCTCATGTCTTTTCATTACTGTCAGGAATTATACCGTGTTTCTCATATAATAAGGCCGGGTCTTATTTTTTTTTGAGCCCCGAAAAAATGGCTAGGCCGTCTTTTCGGGGGTGACTTAATTTCCCCCCCCCTTGCATCTTCGGGCAGGCGGGCGGCGACGGCTTGGATGTTGATCTCGGCGTTGGTGGGGCATTTTGTATCAGGGTCAACGCAGGCAGCACCATATCCGGGTGTGCAACAAAAGTACTTCCTGACGGCAAGCCCCCCCGCCATTTCCCCCCCATTTCGCATGTTTTAATATAGGCCTTAATTTGGGGGGAGGGGCTTAATTTCATTTCATGCCTATAAAACATGCTGGGACTTCCTATTGGGGGAGGCCGTATTGTTGGAGAAACAGGGTAGAAAACAAAAAGAAAAGGGTGCAGGGGCAACATTGTGCTGTGCTTTTCATTTTTTTTCCTATTTTTCCAAATCTGGTGATTTATTAGAATGCAATTCTCATCATACACCAATAATGTTACCCATTATAGTTATGGATTGACATACTAGTGAAACATATAGTATATGGGGGATGACAGATGGAAAAGATTATATTAGCTACTACTGATTCTTTGGGAATCATTGATACTTTTCTGGTATTGTGATTACTAAATGAGAAAGCATATTTTTCAGCTTGCTCTTGCAGCAACAAATGGAAACCATGATGGTCTGAGCACATTTTTGTGTTATGTTGGTTATAACAGAACATATTAGTTAATCCATCTGTTAGCAAGCAGCTTCAAGTAAATGTTTCATTATTAATATGGTCCTGCCCCTCTATCTGCTACTAAAATTATTAAAGTAAACTCTAATAACTATAGTAATAAATAGAGGGGCAAGGTTGTCTTTCTTTCTTTCTTT